ATGGGAAAGTCTGTGGTAGCGCTACACAAAGAAGATAAGGGCAAGCAGTCAAAGAGCTAACATTAGGAAGTAACAGTACCAATAATGTTATAGTTTCTTACTACCATGTTTGCTCCAGAGAATTAGCTGCAGCCAAATGGAACAATAACAAAGTTTACTAATATGAAGTATTAATTTCTGGCTTTAGAAAGGCGCATGTGTGTACCCTATTACATCTGTGGCATTAAAACCTGAATTCCTTAATTGTCTGAAACAACTGTCCTTATACCGGTGCAATACCTTGGCAGGTGAATTTTAATGTTGATTAATGCGAAGTAATGTATATTGCAGGAGTGGGGAACCTAAGGCCCCGGGGGCCAGATGCAGCCACTGGCTTGCTTGGATCTGGTCCCTGAGGCTCAGGGCTCTCTCTCAGCATTAGGGAGCCTGCACTGGCACTCCAGTCCGCCCCTGCTATCCTCCATGGGGCAGAGCACACAAAATGTACTAGCCTGTGCCTGCCTTAGCGCTCCTGTGCAAGTGGTATGTGGGGAGTGTCTTTCTATTTGTTAGTCAGAGGGCACATCAATAAAGGTGTTTTTTAATGGTTTGCTTTTGTTTTTGCTTCTCACTTGTTTGTAGCCTTTGACTGATTTTTATGTGGGTTAGTGGCCCCCCAATCCAAAAAAGGTTCCCCACTCGTGACATATTGGATAACATAATCCCAACTATATGTATAAAATGATGGGGGCAAATTTAGCTATTAACACTCAAGAGAGAGATCTTGGCATCACTGTGGATGATTCTCTGAAAACATCCACTCACTGGAGGGCAGCAGCAGCAGGCAAAAAAGCAAACAGAATGTTAGAAATAATTTTAAAAAGGGATAGGGAATATATTATTACCTCTATATAAATCCAAGATACGTCCACATCTTGAATACTGAACGTAGATGTGGTGCCTCATCTTGAAAAATATATCTTGGTACTGGAAAAAGTTCAGGAAAGGGCAACAAAATGATTGGGGGTATGGAATGACTGCATTTGAAGAGAGATTATTTACTTGTTCCTGTAACACAAGAACTAGGGATCACCAAAAGAAATTAATACGTAGCAGATTTAAAACAAACATAAGGAAGTAGTTCTTCACACAACGCACAGTCAACCTGTGGAACTCCTTGCCAGAGAATGTTGTGAAAACCAGGACTTTAACAGGGTTCAAAAAATAACTAGATAAATTCATGGAGCATATGTCCATTAATGGCTATTGGGCAGGATGACCAAGAATGGTGTCCCTACTCTCTGTTTGTCAGAAGCTGGGAATGTGTGACAGGGGATGGATCACTTGATGATTACCTGTTCTGTTCACTCCCTGTGGGGAATCTGACATTGGCTCCTGCCAGAAGACAGGATACTGGGCGAAATGAACCTTTAGTCTGACCCATATGGCTGTTCTTAATATGAAAAATGAGTAGACCCTCTTTGATCAATGAGGACAATTTGTGAAGGTGATAGTCCCTTGACTGCTATGGTGCAGTGGTTCTTATGATCTGAATATCTGCTAGTGACAGAACAAACCAAATTTCTTCTTATGATTTTCTGGTTGGCAAGTAGGATTCTGGAGGGACAACCATGATCAGCTGAGTTTAAATGTGGAAAGCACCTTAGGTCTCATATTGATACGACCGGAATGACTCTGCATACACAGCAGTCATCCCCACTTACCCCATTAGCACATGTCGATGCTGGAGCTGTGAGATGCGATTCCTCACCTGGGTAGACAGATTTGTGATAACTCAGCTCAAGCTAAAGCTAGTAGTGTGGAGACTGCAGTGTTGGCAGCAGCTTGGGGTAGATACCCAAGCTTGGATCCAGGAGTTCAGTTGGGTGTCATTTTGGGCAGCAAGCACAAGCCTTTTACCTGTGCTACAATGTAAAAACTCCTGTTTCTAGCACACAGGCTTCAGCTAAGCTAGTGTGCATCTTTCTACCAGGGTTGTTGATCACACCTGCCAGCTGCAGCATAGCTATACTTTAATTACCCTCCTATAATCAACTGGGAGTAATTGCCTTTTCATCAAATGCAAATTATGAACCCTCCCTCTTTCCTTCTTGAAAGAGAGAGCATCCACCTTCCCACCAGCTCTGACAAAAATGTGTACTTCATGGGTAGGTTAATTTTTTTATTTCCTTGTATTCCTTTCCATTTTACTATTCTACAAGGTAGAGAGGATTCTTTCCTTCTGTCAGTGGCACCAGGGATGAATTTGGCTGTCTTTCTTCTGTGTTTGTATAGGGTGTAGCAAAATAAGATCCAAGACTTGGGTGTCTAAGCAATGTAGTAATACAAATCATAATACGTTTGGTACATGTGCTTTTGGTGTTAAATTATGTACCTTTTTCTTAGGTATCATTTTTAGCTGTATAGTTTATGCTCATTCAGTGATCATATCTTAGGTGTGTCTCAATAGTTGTTGTACACATGTGCCTGCAATAGTTAACTTTTTACTTAATGGCAGAGTTTTTCAGATTAACACAATATCTGAGTGTTCCCATTTCCTTTAAGAAAAGGTCCTGACTTGGAGACACTTGTTGTGACCATGCTCCCACTGAAACTAATGGCAAAAGTCCTATCAACTTACATACAGGACTGGGCCCTGCCAGAGTGAAAGAGATGATTTGTTTGAGCATCTGGGATTCACCAAGCCATGAATGATTGTGGCAAAAAAGGAAGTGGTATGTAGTAAGTTGTTTGGCCATGATCTGAGCAGGTTTCCTTGCAATGGCAGGAAGCTAATATTTTATGGACTGACACCATGTGTGCCAATCATGTCATTTTTAGAAGCACAAGCTCTCTTGTGAGCACTCCATATGGTGACAGGCCAATGTTTCATTCACCTAATTCAGTTATTTAGTGTCCCTCTTCCCCATGGAAATGGATATGTCCAACATTCTCTTCACAGTATTAGTGTGTCAGCTCCCATTTCTTTTAATTTGATTGGAGAGCTGGTTAGCTTCATTCACTACTTGGATAATTAATTGGAAAGCCCTGTTGCTTCTCTGCTTCAAAATGCAAAGAATTTGGCTCAGTGTTATTAATATGATTGCATGTCGTCTTTGGAATTTTCCTCTTCATTGTGTATTGACTTTATTCCTCAACCAGATTACTTTTATTCATGCCAATTGCACAGTTATGAAAGGCCCATGACAATCTTTTCAGTAAGTCATTTGAATATAGTCAAAATGAAGCCTGCCTCTCAACTTGCCAAATTCAAAATGCAGTTAATGCCCCCAACGAAAGATGCGAGCAACAATACGGTGAGGGAAGTTCAAAATGAGGCAGGACTAATTTCTTAAACACTTTTTAGCCCTCAGCTTTCTGCCTTGCTCTTCCTTCCTCATACCAATTTTTTACAGCTCTTCATGGGATCATTTCAGCTGTGTGGGAGTGATTGATGGCTGTAAGCTTGAGTGTAAAATGAGTGGTGGGAAAAGGTATATGAACTGAAGACAAGATACAGATGAAGTGATGCAAACATGGTATGCACCAGAGATTTGCCAATGCAAACAGCATTAATATATAGAGGAGACAGAGGAGGGTCACATGATCTGGCCTGGACATTATTAAATATGTATAATTGAGGAACAGATAATTTAGAGGGAGGTTTTTTTCCTATGGCTGGCTCCCTTCTGCAGTAAAATTGCTGAAGAATGAATAGCTGCTGCTATTGAAGAAGTAGCATAATCTAGTGATTTTGGCATAGGAACAAAAGATAGAAATTCAGATTTTGAATCCTAGCTTTGCCATTGACTCCTCCTATGGCCTTGTCATGCACACTTGGGTGATTGCTGCCTCAGTTTCCCCATTTGTAAAACGGGGTTCATGTGCCTATTTCATGGGAATTTTAAGTGAATAGGCTTTTCTGCAGATTAAACATGCATTAGAATTGTGAAGTTTTCTTAATGGAACAACTGGGGAGGTTAGAGAAAACAAAACGGCAACTGTTCAGTATAATTCATGGCCAAGGGTGGCTGTGGAATCTTTATCACTTGAGATTTTTAAGAACAGGTTAGATAGACATCTGTAAGTGATGATCTAGACCAGTGGTCCCCAACGCAGGCCCATGGGTGCCATGGTGCCCACCGGGGCATTTATGTGTGCCTGCCCAGTCACCAGGGCTGGCCCAAGCCATTCTTGTGCCCCAGGCCCCGGGTGTGCTGCGCAGGGCCGGCTCGACCCATTCCTGCACCCCGGGAAGTGGGTGTGTGACGCATGGGCGGCCCCACCCCCCGGCACCTTACAGCTGCAATTGGGGGTGTGGCGCCTGATGGCAGCTCTAGGGGGCACCGCGCAGCTGTGCGCCCGGTGCCCCTTACAGCTCCCATCAGGCACGCCCCATTGGTTGGTGCCCCAGGCAGCTGCCCGGCTAGCCCCCTCCCTTAATCTGGCCCTGCAGGCGCGGCCTCTGCCTCGGGAGCCCAGCAGCCCCAAACGGTTGGAGACCACTGATCTAGACCCTGCTTGGTCCTGTTGTGAGGGCAGGGGACTGGACTTGATGACTTCTGGAGATCCCTTCCAGTTCTAGTGTTGGCTGATTCTGTGGGTAGGGAGAACTACTACAACGCTTTAGATGATAAAAATGGAAGTAAATAGTCCATGGCAATGTACAGAACAAGTGATAATACAAACTGTAGAGGAATTCAGAAAATCATTCCCTGAATGGGAAGTTCTTGAGTACTCAGGGAAAGGGGCCGTGTGTGTATAAGGAGTGACTGAAAGGAGGGGGAGAGACTTGCTGTGGGTCCCCGTACAAAAAGTCGGGGCGGGGGGTAGGGAAGGGAGGGCGTTGCGGTGGGGGAGTTGTGCAGAGCTGGAGCCGCCATCCCCGTCCTCCAGGATGCTGCATTGCTGAGGGAACCAGCCAAGGCGGCGCCGCGGCCGCTGGAGGGCGCTGCCGCTGCACGTTTGGAGCCGGCCTGTCCCAGGCAGGAGAGCGCTGCCTCCACTCCCTGCGCCCCGGGGATTGGAGCAAACTGCAGCTTCTCTGCGAGGCGGCCACAAAAGTCCCTGGCTGCTGCGGGACGGAGTCAGAACCCCTGGCTGCAGCCCACCCAGCCCGTCTGCTGCAGCCGCGGGGCGCTGCCCGGGCCTCCACGGGCTGGGGCTGGCTGTGGTGCATGCGGGTCCCAACTCCAGCGTAACCCCCCGCCCCACCCCGGGCTGCCTGCAGTGAGGGGGGCAGGCGCCGCACTGTGCAAGGACGGAGGCGCTCCCTGCCCTGCCCCGCAGGATGCCTGGACCCCAGGGGAAGGGCAAGCGGCGTTGGTTAAAAGTGCTGGTGGCTTGGACGGCCGTGGCCTTGGCTTATTCCTACAACGTGGACCTGGATCATCCCGTGGTCTACCAGGGGCCCAATGGCTCCTTCTTTGGCTACTCGGTGCTGGAGCATTACTACGATAACACCCGCTGGTGAGTAGGGACTGGCGCGTTGGCCGGGAGCTGCTGCTTCAGCTGCACGTGAATGGGCCACTTCGAAGCGGCGCTGGCACCTCTCAGCCCCCTCCCCTCCGGTCTCCTCCCCCCATCTTTTCAGATCCAAGCCAGGTGGGCTCCGTTTCTTCTGCCCCATAGCAGGGCCGGAGCTGCCTTGAGACAGCTCCAGTATTTCTGTGCCCACTCCCATGAGGGAGATCCTAACTGCAGCCAAATTCTTGGTGGCAGGAGGGGAGACACATGGCAGTGTCTTTAAGGGGTGATTGGAGGAGTTAAGTAACTCAGCCAGAAGTTAGGGGCTGTTGGTGGGGTGAGGGTCTGTGAAATGCACAGGGAGTCAGACTAGATGCTTGTGACCATCTGAGGGTAAGGCCTTGCTGGAGGGCTGCCTTGGTGGGTCTAGGGGGCAGGTATCACTATGAGGACCCAGAGTTTCTCTTTCCCAGCAGCATGCAGAAAGTGGGAAGGTCTCTTATATTAAAAGGGCAGGGGAGGGCTTCTTCTGAGGATCAGTTGGCAGTGGCGGTGGTGGTGGGGAGAAGGCTAGAGAAGTAGTGAAGGCTGATTAGCTTGTCACTGACTATCTTACTGGTAGAGATTAATGGTGGGATAGAAGTTCAGGGTGAAATCCTGGCTTTGATGAAGTCCAAAGTCCCATGGGTTTCAGCAGGGTAAAGATTTCACCCTAAATATGTAGAGACTCTCTGGCTTCAGACAGGCAATGTCCAGTCTCCAAATAGCATGCTGTTCCAGTTAAGATACTGGTTTAAAATCCCATGCTACAATCTGAGGGAGCTAGCGCTGAACTTTACTTTGTTCCTCCCTGCAGTCGGACTGACCCAGAAAAAATGGAGCTAAAATGCTGTCACGGGTGTGTTTGTTACTGCCAGTAGCTTTTCCACTGCCTGTTGCTGGGAATTGAGAAAGTACTGCAGGATCAGATTTTCTGATTCCACCACACCCACCAATTTTAAAGCTTCTGGTCTCAGCCAACACAATCTTTGATGAATCAGAATGATAGTCGGGTGTCATCCTGGACACAGTCTACAGGAAGAGCTTTTAAGTTCAAAATTAGTGTTTAAAAAAGTTGTAAGTGGACACTTTCCATCTTCATTTCAACCCTTGCTGTGTAATCTGTCCAACAGGCTAGCACACTGTATCTGGCAGCATCTTCAGTACCTTTCAGCGGGTACTAAGTAAGCAGGCTGTGATTTTTTTTTTTCACAGCAATGAGGAGAAATGTTTAATCCTGGCTTTAATCATGTTTTTATTATTAATTGTTATTATTATTGTTGCAGAAGTGCTGCCTCTTGTTACAGTTTGGGAACTGCACTAGAGCTGACATTTTTGTTTAAACTTCCAGTCTGAATTTGGCTAGTGCGTACAGTACTTAGAATGTATTATGGCAATAAAGTAATGTTGCTTTGTTTTGGATGCAGTCTGAGGGAAGAAGTTTGTGTATTTCCTGGAAAAGCAACAGAGACAAAAACTACCAGACACAATTTAGCAATAAGGGAGGTTTGAACTTCAAATGAGTCACTTAATATAACCAAATTTTCTGTCTGGGTATTAGTTTCTAAGTAGTCCAAAATGATGTGCTCTGTGATTTCAGTTCAGTTACAGGTATGGGGCACTGAAGAAAGATTACTCCCCATTGAATCCATTTATTGTTACCTTCATCAGTTGCCCTGAGTTCAAATGCTGCTGCAAAAAGAGGAAATCCAGCCCTATGAGTCTCTGTTTCCGCAAGCTGCAGATTGTGGACAACAGTCCGATAGAATCCCAAAGTGCTGCAGACTGGTGTTTACTCTAGTGAACAGTTGCTGCTGAAACATGCAGCACATGTACTTGGAGAAGTGAGTGAAATGTGGAGGGTGTTGAACCGGCACTTCATCTTGCAGGTGCATTCTTAAGAAACCTAGGCATCCCTGGGGATTAACTGCAGCTGCTAAAACCATGATCAGTTAATGCCTTTTTATACTGATAAACTGGTGTTGCTGTGACATTCTGGACCTGCTAGGTAACTGGGGACACTATGTAGCATCACTTCAAACAAGTTCAACGCAGGGAACAGTCAAAAGTTGGGTCAGCATATAGAAAAGTGTGTGGTGATATTTTTTTCCTGGAAAGTTGGGGGGTGTATGTGAGGGGTGGGGGTGGGGAGAGGAAGAGAGTAGAAGACATTATGGAGCAGATACGACTCATGTTAAGTTGGGGGGTTACTCCATAGCCCCTGGCATGTAATCCTTTGCTGCAATGCAAACGGCCAGTTGTGGTTTGTTTAGTCCTTTTTGTAACCCCCCTTCTTTGCAGGAAATATGTAACAGCTCATCTTGACAGCAAATTCATGTGATGTGGGCTATGAGAGGTCATAATTTGTTAAATGGGAAGAGTTTTAGTAGCAGTGGTGTCAAGCGAGTGAACAGTAGAGCATTGATAGGTCTGATCTGTTAGCAAAGAGGAGTTTTCTGCATTCTATACTACAGCCAGGCATATGTTCTTAATGAGTAGAGTGATCTGCACATGGGGGTGGGGCGGGTACTCCTATGTTTGCATAGGATTTTTAGGGGGAATGGTGGTGTATTTTCAATAAGAAATAACAGATGTTAAGTATCAGTTAATTAACTAATTGAGTAGTTAAAATTTCCATCGACTACTCGATAAGAGGGGAGGGCGCTCCCGCTGCGGCTCTGCGTTTTAAATATAGTAAGAGCCCGGCAGGCTTTTACTGCATTTAAAGTGAAAAGCTGCAGCAGGGTTAGCTCCCGGGGGCGGTGCGAGCCAGGACTGAACATCTCAGCTCATGCCCCCCCCCACGAGCACTGTGACTCTGCCTCTCCTGCCCCCCACGCTGCACCATGGAGACAGTGCTGGGGGGAACCGGCTTCGGCTCTCCATCCCACTTGCTGCTTCTGATACAGAGGCAGGAGTGGGGGATGCGACCACTGAAGTACTCATTCGACAATTTGCTTACATCCCTAAGCTGTATGTATCTCTCAAAACTATGTAAACTACTTTTTCTGATATTCTGTCTCTCTTTGCATCAGGGCTCTGTTAGAATTAAACTGGGTTCTCTTAAGTGGACCTAACTAATGTCACTTTTACTGTGTGTAAGAAAAGTAAAGGTTTATAAAGCTTCGTGCGTGGTCCTGTAGTACCTTAGAGACTAACAAAAGTATATAGGATCATGAGCTTTCATGGGCACAAAAAGTGGGTTGTGCCCACGAAAGCTCATGATACTATATATTTTTTGTTGGTCTCTAAGGTGCTAAAGGACCACTTGTTATTTTTTAAGATTTTTTTTAAGTTACAGACTAACACGGCTACCCCTCTGAGACTTTTTTACAAAGCTTCTCTTTATCTCTGTTGTTTCGATATGGACAGATTACCTAGCTGTTGATTTTGGAACTGGAGCACACTGTGGATTAAATAAATGTATTAAGTCTGGGTTTTATCCCCTTAAAATGAAAGTCTTTCACACACTTTGGTTCATAAATACTTGTATGTGTGGTGACTTTCAAGGAGCATTTGTTACAAAGGAGTTATCTGTAAATATCAAGAAATATCAAGAAGCACTCTGAAAAGAAAAGAAACCCCTCACTGTAAAACAATGCTAATATTATCTCACAGACAAAAGACAGAAAAGCAAAACAGAAAACACACATTGATGAGGAATGCACAATATAATGAAGTGTCGGTCTAAAGAAACACTGTTGCAATGAAATAATACAATTTCTTGCTAATTATTATCTTGTGTAGACAACAATAGTTCAGACTATGAAAACTGATATAAACATACATGATTAACATTTTTTTGGCATTTCACTGAGCTTGGGAAATGAAGCAAGGTTGGTCAGTTTCACTTCCTGCTTCTCCTGCGCTAGCAAAATACAGTTAGGCTTCGGTTAATAACACTGCAAAGGGATGTTAATCTCCAGAAACATTTTCATTTAAAGTAAAAGTTTCCTGCAGGATTATGAGTGTCAGGACGTTGGTGGGCCTCAGGACGTTGGTGGGCCTCGGATTCTTAAGATCTTATGGTCCCATATTCCTTTAATCTGGTCCTGATTATAAAAGTACCTTTAACAAACCGCCTTCTGTCCAGGAGGACTTCTGCCATGTGCTAATACACATTTTTGTATATTCATAAACTTCAATCTTGGCCATTTTCAATAGTACAGAATACCAGTCTGTATAATGATCTTATAAGCTATCTGTAAAGGATATTTAGATTCATGAGTCAAAGCCTGAAACAGTGTCTTAATTAACTCAAGTAGCATTCAGATCTCAGTCTAAAATACGATCTAAAACAACAGTTTTCAAACAGTGGAGCAGGCCTCTCATAGGTTGTGCAGGAATGGGTAAAGCAGGGGTCGGGAACCTTTTTTGAGTGGGGACTGCTGACTCAGAGAAAAATCAGTCAGGGGCTGAACACTAATGACAAGCAAAGAGACAGTGGGCGAACCAAGCCTGAGGGGGCTGGATCCAGACGAGCCAGCGGCCGCATCCAGCCTCCAGGCTTTAGGTTCCCCATTACTGATGTAAAGGGAGGCATGAGCTGTGTGCATTTTTTAAGAGCCTTGATTATTAGCCCAACTGGCTCGGGCTTGTGCAGAAGGGCTGAGTAGACCAGGAGGTAGGGATGAAAGGGGCATCCTCCTCTGTGCCCTCCTCTGTTCCCAGTGCTTAATGGGAATGCAACCTGGGCTTGGGCTCTGCCTCCTCTCTGCCCCCCAGCCCTCACCTGGAGGTGGTGGGGCTGCCAGCAGCAAGGGTGCCAATGGGCCCCATGTCTGCTGCACTTTTCACATTGTCTCCCTTACTTCTGTGCTGCTGCTGACTTGGCATTTCTGGCCCTCCTCTGTGCCCTCCTCTGTTCCCAGTGCTTAATGGGAATGCAACCTGGGCTTGGGCTCTGCCTCCTCTCTGCCCCCCAGCCCTCACCTGGAGGTGGTGGGGCTGCCAGCAGCAAGGGT